TGGCTTCTTTGTAGCGGCTGGCAACGTCAACAATAGTTAGGGCATACTTGTACCTCCTGTCGTGGAGTAGGAACAGGAGGTCGGCCTGGTGGAGGCTATTGGGTACATCAATGCCGAACTTTCGTCTAGGCACGTGGCGTGGTGCTGGCAGGTTGAATTTGATGTGGCTCTTCCTCATGTGCAGGGCCACCAGATCGTCGGTGAATATCTTGCTCCAGTTGAATGCCGGGCTGGCTATCAGTTTCCTGAGCTTGTCTTCCTCTTTCGACCGGACCAGCTTCACAGTCACACGTTTCCTCAGGTTCTCCTTTGTATTGCCAAACACCAAGTTGTTCATGAGCTTGTAGAGGTTCTTCTCAAAGTCACTGGTGGCCAGCTTTCTCAGTTCGGTGTTCATTCTAATGTAGGGCTCCATCCAGGGGCTTTGGTCGAACTTGAGCACCCCATAAATTTTAGTCAGCCTCATACCCAGTGACAGGTACAGCTGCAGGTTGCGATAGTGAACGATGTACTTGGTCTTGTTCATCAAGTTGGGTACGAGTTTTTCGACGTTGGCCGGCTTATTACCACCCGGCAAGTTCTGTTGTTAGTCAGACATCCAGTCTGGGTCCACCATCAAACGTTCTGGAGCCAGGGTAAGCCGTTGTGTGACTTGTGTAATGCTGCTGGATACTCCAAGTCCACTTCGAGTATGGAACCCTTCCCCGAATCCGGCGGTATACTCATGACGTCTATCTCAGGCACCCACTCGAACCCCCCGGAGGGTAGATACCGGCTCATGGCCCAGCCGTACAGGTTGTTGGCATTGAGGTAGAGGATGTGGGTGGTGGTCTTGCTAGGGTCACAGCCCTTCATGTACTCGTTGTTGGCTTTCAAGTAGCGTTTGGAAACCATGGAAATCCCGCCTCTCGCAAGCCTTTCTCGATGAACAGGTGCATGTCGTAATCAGTGAGGAGTTCCAGCTGAACTCCGGTTTTCTTCAGCAGTGCATCCCACGATAGACCAGGGCTGGTGTAGTACCATGCGGGATCGAGTTGATACTGCTTGAAACACGTCTTTCTGAACGTCTCGAACACGTCGGCCAGCAGGAGCACGTCCGTTCTCAAGTACAGGTCGTGGTAATCACCCAGGTTCCTGCAGCCCAGTTTCTCCCACACGTTCTGGGCGTGGTCATAATCGTCCTGAGAGATGGACGAGTCGGTCAGGTGGCTGTAAAATCGGTTGATGGGGGGCAGTCGGGTCTCGTCGAACTTGGTCCAGCTGTCCATGTACTCGTAGGGGTAAACACCCTTTCTCATTAGCAGGGGGCCGAGTCTCGGCGTCGGTGTATCGATTGGTGATGTGGAAGGTACCGTTGGCCTTCATCAGACTGTCGAGAGACGACAGCAGGAACTGAATGGAATTGATGAACCTCAGGTCGTTCAAGGAGAAGGAGATGTATCTCTCCATGTTGTTGGGGATGCACGTCAGGTTTCTGTCGACCTTCACGATGGCCTGCATGATCAAGTTAGAGTCATACCCTTTCCACGGGGATATTGATTGTTTTGGGGTTGATTCTGAGCTTGAGGATGCACGCCTTGTGGGCTGCACCTCTGTACTCACCAGTGATGTGACAGTGATCTCTCACCGAATCGCCGTTCAGCGGTTCATCGCACACGTGGCATACGTGAGTGCTGTCGTGAGCTCGCCGGGCGGCTTGAGTCATACTCATGGGAGCGGCGGTATGCAGCCTTTTCCTGATGGTTTTCTCTTCCTGTTGCAAACGCATGAGAAATAGTTCGGCCGCGATGGGACGACCACGTACCCGAACCCACAGGCCTCGTGCTCCTGCGTTTTATACGTGTTTTTGTCCATGGACGGCCCGATGTCAACGGGTTTGACGAGGGCTTCGAAGTCGGCATTAATGATGTAAGGTACAGGCATCAGGCTCTTGTGGTTGTCAAATTTTAGTGTGTTGTCGCCTTCCTTGGGCCTGTCGATTCGTATGGCAGTCTGTCCCACCCCTAGGCAATCCTCCCGGTGTGATTCCAGCAGGTCGGCCCGGGTGAAGCCGTGCAGGCACCGTTCGCAGAAGTGTTTTTTTCTCTCTGTATTTCTATTGGTAGTACAACAGCCTGCTGAAGTGTTTTATCCACGCGTAGTGGTACTTGTCACCTGGCTGGATCATGAAAATATTGATCACGTGGCCCTCGGTCACTGGGCTGACCCTAGGCACGATCGTTTTGTTGCCTTCGTGCCCAAAGACGTTGATGGCTATGGGGTTCTGTTTTTCGATTTTGATGATCTGAGATATGGGGGTGGGTTTGTCTATACCGTCCCAGTTCAGTCCGTCATCTTCGGGGTAGCTCGAAGGTCTGTTCGAATTAACATCGGCCGGAAACAATGTGGATCTGATCGCTAACCTCAAACAATTATTACCTCTGTTTTTGACGTTGACCATGGCTTGTTTTTTCTTGTAGTAGGGGGGCAAGTCTAGATACGATCCGCCTTTGAACGGTATGTAGTTAGCTATGTCTAGATAGACCTTATCGATTCTGTCCACGACCCACCCACTAACCACTGTGCATGTAGCATTCCAGGTATTCTCATAGTGTTTGCAAAGAGGTGTCGATGGACGCGTCTACCTTCTCAGGTCGTTCAGTTCCTCTTCTAGTTTGCTAGTGATCAGAGGTTTGATATCGGTGACGGGTATAATTTTGGCTACTTTCATCCGCCAGCTGCTCAGATAACCTTTCGAGGTTCTACCTGATCGCGCAAACTGTAGGTCGGTCATTATTATACTTAGATGCAAGCCAATCTCTAATTGTGCCTCCAGTTATGTAAGGGAGGTAACTCCGTCAGCCTTATCTGCCAGGCAAAAAAATTAAGCCTTTAAAAATTTCCATTCTGAGGAGGCGCTTACGTTCGTTCAAATAATCTTTTTTCTTGTCATAAATAAGTTGGTTTCGGACCACGTTCGCCCCTGGGCTCTACATAAACAACAGTAATGGCATTTCACTCCAATACCAAACACGGAGTACGTGTAGTTCACAAACCATTTCTTATACTCCTCATATGAAAACAACAGTACCCCTCGGTCCTGCATTTCCTACCACAAGCGGGTCTCATCTTTGTTATATCCATATGAATATCTAGTCTAATTTTTTCACAATTAACACGGTCGCTGCTAGGCCCAGTGAGACAAAGATCAGTTCTCGATTTTTTTGTTCCGGGGAAGGCTCATAATACTGGGAGAGTGTGGGTTCATCGCGTGGTTCAAGATGTTTACCGGTTAGTAGGTAATATTCTTTCGCGGCATCATCGATATTCTTCAACGTTCGAAAGGCATGGTTTTCACGCTCGAGTTGATCGTTAATGACATCGAGTCTCTGGATGCGTTTTTTCGCGTACTCGGTTTGCACGGCTTGTAATTTCTCCACGGCTATATCGTGCCATTTTCGTTCCACTTCTACCTCGGCCGTGTTCGACTCCCGTAATTTCGAGAACGGGTAATTACTCCCGGAAAATGCCAGGCATTGACTAAAGCCCCGCCGACCATCATAGCGATCATAGCCATTCTATATATGTTATATATTACTTTAAAATATTTTCTGGTATGATTCCTTGTTTTACGAGGACGTCCTTGCTGGCCATCGCCATCCCTAAATTCATGATGAGCATGGCCATATCCTGCAGGTCGAAATCGAGTTTGATCGTCGGTTGTTTGAGAACCATTTTGGTTAAACGAGCGTACCCTACAGCTAGACTGGCGACCACGGTTGCGTGGTATGCATCGTTAACGAATGTTTTTCCTTCAAACATTATATATATAATATAAAATATATTTTTAATTATAACATAATATGGGGGTTGACCTCTAATTGTGGTTGCGGTGTGGATTTTGGTGCTGGTTGTGGTTTATTATATAACATAAATCATGTTGTCAAGGCAGCAGCAGCTGTGCCTGCAATCCACAGAGTATAATTTTTTTCGTGGTGCTTAGCTAAACCACCTTTTCTACCGGCGGCGACCCTTTTAGGGTTCTTCTTCTTGGTGACTTGTGTCAGTATTTCCTTCCCCTGCTCCTGTGTTGGAGTCGGAGTCATCTCTTGCTGGGCAGTTTCCATCTTGTATACTATTATTATTATTATTTCCCTCTTTAAATTGGCAATGCTTTGCTGTGATGATCGCCGCCGTCACTGGAGCTAAAAACATACCATATTTGTGGTACAACACACAGCTGACGTCGCTCAAAGCGTGTTCGATGAACGGACCATTCTCGAGATCTTCCCAAAGGTAAAGTCGACGTTCCGGGGGAATGGGAAGGAAGTACGGCACTAAACCGGTGTAGATCTGCATCATGGTCGACCCTATAGTTTTTGTCATCTCGGCCCCGAGCCGGGTTTCGTATCTCGCGTACAGCTTACCGATCTCATCGGGAGGCATTTTCTGAATTTTATCGTACTGAAGTATTGTTTGGCTTTGCCACCGACCGCCAGCGGCACCAGTCTATCTCGCTTGTCATCGCTCTTATCATCCGGCGACACCAACATTTGTTCGAGCAGTTCGTTGCACTCTATCTTATAATGTAACCAGTGATTTTTAATTCTGATAATATAATACCCGATGCACACAAAACATAGCGAGATAAAAATACACACGATAAGGATTTCAAAAGTCGACATTTTATATAAAACCATATCAACATTATATAACTGACATGAAAACAACATAACCGAGTGACCAGGAAAGTGCCAATTCGCGGTCATAGTGACCAGGAAGTTGGCTGGGGATTCAAAAGTGGTATGAACACTAGCGGAGAAAGAAAAGGGCCTGATAAAAGCTCTATTTATTAAATATAGCTTCACAGAGTCTTCTGTTGGAAGTGATCTCGTACCCCTGTCGTGTATACTACTTGACCTGTACATAGTCATCTGTATGGCGTGACCTGCATATGCATGTTAAACCAGGAAGTAAGTTATTTCTGATAATGCAAACTTTCATCATTGTGATCTTTCAAGGTTGGCTTATTCTGAAGTGAAGTGTCAACGTCATGACGAAATCTGTGAGCGTTTGGATATATATCACATGTCTTTGCTGCCTTCTTCAGCCAGTTTGTACAGGTAACACATACATTTATATAGACATGCGGAATAAATAATGAACACATAAAAACAGTACAAATTTCCTTGTATGCATAATAACAAGGATGTAGTGTATGCAATTATACATATGTATCCTTTGTACGAATATATTCACATGAGGAGAAAAAGTATATTTAAATTACCCAACGCGAAAAGGTTCACAGGCAATATTCAATGGCTGAATAAGTTCTCCCCTACCAGTGCACGACTAGACTACATTAGATTCAGAATAGCAATATGTGTCATTCGTAATACTTTGTCAACTTTGAGTATAACAAACGTGGAAAAGGGATGTGTCTGATAAAACGAACCCAAAACAGATCTTCAACATATACGCCATTGTTCCTGTGGATAACAGAGACTGTATATGACGGACTGGGTGACCGCTACCTTGCAGTTCAAGTTCCAAGTTAAATATGTGTCCAGTTAGAAAAAGATGTAATCTGCCTAAAGAAGAACATACACACAATTCTATATAACATATACCCTGGAATAAGTGTAACGATCAATATAAAGTTCTAGTTATCTTTAATAGTAATAGTATCTTTAAAAGTTATAATTCTTCCTCGGCATTGGTAATCCTTTCTCCTCCTCCACTCCATTCCTCATTTGGAGGAGGAAATGGCGTGTGAACACGTTATTGTTTGACACTTTGCCAGACATTTTCAACAGTTACTTATACGCTAGTATATATATGAAGATTAAATAGCGTAATACTACGGACTAAATCACTACTCACAATCTTTGGAAGACAACTGTATTCAGTATTGCATCAACTATCTACATGCACATATACTATATGTGTATGTCCACATACACCCTCAGACCCTTATACTGACTCGGAAGTTCATGTTACATTTGCATGAGTGAGTGTGGTCATTTGCATGCTTAAACATCATTCGAAATTTCAGTCATTCAAAACTGCACGTCATCGCATAGTGAATGACATGCATTCAAGTTGTGACTTGTCTTTCATGCAGGCATAATATACACTAGTAAGGTATGTTATGGATCCGGTCGCCACTGTATTCAGCATGGCATCAACTGCAGTGACACCCAGAAGATCGCCATCGTTGACGCCTACTACACAAACAACACTGAATGTGGACAGACAGGTCTTGCTAACTGCCACACTGTGAATCCGGACAGTGTGACGGAACGTGGTTATCACAGGTTTAGCATCAATGAGGTGTTCTCGCTTTACAAGAACTGTTCCAGAAAGCCTCAATGTCGGTACCGTGCTCCCCGGCGTGTTGATGCTTATACCTTCTCTGTTGTCAAATACCGGTGTATTGAAAGTAAGTGCTTAATCCAAGCTTTTTTTTATTCTACTATATCTACCTGTTTCTATTAACAATCATGGGAGGAGCAACGAAATTTTGTAAGCATGATCCTAACATTTAAAGATGATAAATATGTTTCATTGTATACTGAAAGCCATTAAAAACGAAATTGGTATTTGTTGTCCTGTAACTTACAAAAGTTCTATTGAAGATCTTTTCCTGCGATACAGAGGATGCAGGGATAAAAGGCTGTTATTCTGGCCCATTTCGAGTTCGAGTCCCGGAGCATTCCTCTCACATGAACTTTGATACTTAAAACTGAACCTTTGACATTTCTCGTAAACACAACCACATTCATGAAACACTTTGTGTACATGCATTACCTGCACCCAGGCCCTGTAAAAGCACAAGGAATTGTGGAACTCAATCACTTTGAGAAAATACCACACTTGACACAAGACGAAAGGAATCAGGTTATCGGTATGGTCAGCCAAGGTGCTTCAGATGTGATGATTGCCAGGCACTTTAATGTGCATCCATCCACTGTAATTCGACTGAGACAATGTTTTCGGGCTACCGGAAGTGTTGCTGATCGACCGCGACCTGGTGCACCACCTGTGATAACAGCTCGACAAAACTGCAATATCCGAGTATCACACTTGAGAAATCAGTTCCAAACAGCTGATGATTAGGCACGGAGGACAATTGGGACAATTCAACGTCATTTCACGCCTTGCTGCCTTCAACATCTGGTGTCGTCACCCGTATCGTGGTCCAACCTTATTGCATCGCCATAGACTTGCCAGACAGCGATGGGCAGCAAATGGGGCCTATCTTGGCAACAGGACATTGCCAGATGTCATTTTTTAAGATGAATCCAGGTTTAACTTATCCTTTGCAGATGGACGTCAACAGATTTATCGACGTAAAGGAGAAAGACTTGCGCCAAACTGTGTCCTTGAACATGATCGTTTTGGAGGGGGTGATGTCATGATCAGACCACAGACCATCAGAGGCTGCAGACCATCCAACAGCTGTTCCTGAGAAATGTGTGTCTTTCATTGCCCCAAAGACTGCGAGCATGTCTTGCAGCGCACGGTGGACACACACGATATTGACTGCAAGTGACTCCTCCTTTGTGTGATGTCGTTGTTGCGTCACTGATGTTGTTGTTGACTGGACATTTTCAGATGAAATTATTCACAGATGTTCACTTAAAACATATCTGCCAGTTAGGTTTATAAATGTTGAAATTAGTGTGAGTAAAGAAAGTATGAATGTCAAATTGCATTTTAATGGCTTTCAGTATATATAGATTGCTTAAACGTTCTGTAAAAAAACCATTTTTTTATACAGATAATTGGCCAAGCCAAGTCTAGATATAAATATACTGAGTCAAAAAAGAAACTTCACAAAATGTAATTTGAAAAATAATGAATAATTTTTCTCTGATGATACATCCATGTATCCAAAGTGGGATCCCTATCTTTCGACTCTAGAAAAACGTTAGCAAAACCTACTCAAACCCATCCATTCCTCGTGCAAATGATGTTAGTGCCAAATCAGGTTTTGCACGTGCTGTCGATCACGTGATCTTCGCATCGAAGTTTTCCTCATATGCACGTGTTTGCATTGGCCTCAAGAATTGAAAAAACACTTTTAAACCACAGTTCTAACGGTACTTGAAATGCCACGATTGTCAAATGTGCAACGTGAACGTGCCGTTGGCATGTTGCAAGCGGGAAGATCAGTTATTGACGTCGCAAGAGCAATGGGATGCAGCCGTCATACTGTGCATGACTTGCGAGGTCGTCTACAACAAACTGGCATCACTTCTGATCGCCCAAGGTCGGGTCGTCCATGTGTGACGTCACGAGCAGAAGACCGTCAAATCGTCCTACGTCGCCCACGTGACAGATTTCTTCAGGCTACACGAACCAGGGCTGAGATGTTTAGAGGTCGACTGTCCTCACAGACCATTCGAAATCGGTTGCGGGCTCCCAATCTCCATTCTCGACGTCCATATCGTGGGCCAATATTGACGCCGTTTCATCAACGTCAACGTCTGCTGTGGGTCCAACGTCACCTCCGATGGACCCAGAGGGACTGGAATCGAGTTGTCTTTAGCGATGAATCCAGGTTTACCCTCAGATTCGCGGGCGGCAGGCATAGAGTCTGGAGACGACGTCGTGAACGGTATGCCCAATGTTGTGTACAGGAAGTCGACAGATTGCATGGTGTGGGGTGCTTTCTGTGGGAACAACCGTTCCCGACTTCTGGTCATCCGAGGAAACCTCACAGCTGCTGCTTACCGCGACCAGGTGCTCACCCCTGAACTCGTTCCTTTCATGGCGGCTCATGGCCCAGGTCTACAGTTCCAGCATGATAATCCTCGGCCGCATACCGCGATGTTGACACGATATTTCCTTCAAAACGCTGGAATCAACGTCATGGACTGGCCATCGAGGTCCCCTGACCTTAATCCAATACAGCACGTTTGGGATGCACTTGGGAGAAGGCTTCGTGGTCTTAGGAACCAACCTCAGAATTTGCAGGAACGTGTCGCTGCCTTGCAAGAGCAATGGCGCAGAATCCCCAACCACGTGTTCACAAGCATCAGGCAGTCGATGAGGAGACGGTGTTTGGCAGTGGTGAATGCGCGGGGCGGCCATACACGATATTGAACTGAGAAATTTCGCATTTTTATTCTTGTGACTTGACATTCTGTATACCCATATTTTGGAATGGCGGTGTAACCTAATGGAACTGATTATGGCACTGTCAGTGTATCGAGTACATCACACAGATCTCAGCAATGAAATAATAACAATTTAACCATCTTACCATCTCTTGTTCTTTTATAGTGCCCTGAAGAAAGAATGTGAAGTTTCTTTTTTGACTCAGTATATCTTGTAACCTTTGTTTAATGGATATGAGACAATTTGGATGCGAGTCTGTGCACTATTCTAGCCATATATTACCGAAACCAGTAGAAAATGTAAATGTTTAGCATCTGTGGCCCAATTACGTTTTCCATTTCTATCGTACAAAACATTTTGGGGGTAATCTGTAAGATGGCATATTTAAGATTTGTAACCAATATTTTACTACTTTCATTTTTGATTCAACAAATAATAGAAATCCCTCCACATTCATCATAAACCATTATATTTGAAGTGGTAACTTTCACACCGCAGAATCTTTTAATTGAATACAAATGTACTTTTTGTAGTGTATCAAATTTTTGGAGTCCACGAATCCCAGAGCCATATAGAAGTATGGGACTAATCTTAGCATCAAAGATTCTAAAAAAATCATTTGTCTGACAAGTCACCTAAAATAAAATATATCTACTAATGCCAAGTAGTATTTTCTTTGCTTGCATCGATGCATTTCTGACATGTAAGGATTACGATAGGTGGTTTGTAAAGTAAACTCCTAAGTATTTGTAAGACGTAGTTGTTTCTATCATTTCACCTTGATAACACCATTTCTCTTTTGCAGCAAGTTTACCTCCATTCGTGAACACAATTATTTTAGTTTTTATCTCTATTTACCGTTAGTTTCCATTCGTTATAGCATTTTTCTAATTCATTCATTTCTGCTTGTAATCCGCGAATAGTGCTAGAGAAAAGTATGATATCATCAGCAAATAATAGAAGAAATAGCTGTACTATATCTGGATGTAACTTAATACCATTTTTGAGAAGTTTTCATGAATCTGTATTGCTAGTTCATTGACAGAGAAAGAAAATAAATGGGCTCAAGTTACAACCTTGTCTTACTCCTATTTGATTCTCAACAGTTTCAGGTATTTAATTATTGTTTTTCACACACATCTTTACGGTATCATAAATACTTCTTAAAAGTTTACTCAGTTTACTGCTTAAGGAATGATTATCTAGAAGATTCCATAACTTTTCTCTTTGAACAGAGTCGAAAACCCTTGCAAAATCTACATATATAGATATAGATAGATAGAACAAAGACTTTGGTACCTTTTTTGAGTATTTCTGTATAAGTGAATGTACAACAAATATGTTGTGAGTAGTAGTACATGTATATCCTTTTCTAAAACCAGCTTGGTATTCGGTTATCTTATCAAAGGATTCTGCCCAGAATACTAAACGTTTATTTATGATAGCAGTGAATATTAGAAGAAAAATGCCTCTATAAGCTTCAGTTTGATTTTTATCACCATGCATATGAATAGGTACAATGATACCAATCGACCATGAATGTGGCAAAGCAGCCCCATTTCCAAGAATGACATTAAACAATAATTGAAGATATGAGGGTATAATATCTGATAAGTGTAAGAAAAATTCGGAGATAGTATCATCTATTCCTGATTTGTTCAGCTTCAATTGTCTACTAGTATTTCAGATCTCTTCTCGAGTTATTGGAGCATCATGTATGTCATTTGTCACTGAGTGATTTATATCACATCTTTGATGATTATTTTTATCGCACTGGCTGGCTGTATAGTTATTCATGGCATCATTAATTTCAGATGTAGAAAACAATTATCTAAAAAAAGAATACCATTCGTTAATCTCAATCTCATTTGTTTGTATGGCTTTCCCATTCAATTTTTTCAGCGAAGACCAAAACTGTTTAGAATTGTTAACACTGTTAACATTGTTGCATCAATATCAAAAATTCACTTCGTTTTTGTTTACAAACTGCATTATACGTTTTTCTAATGCAAAGGTAATTCTCTAAAGTTCGAGCATCCTTAGATCTACGGTCTCTTTCGTAGCTCACGTGTCACAAAGACAAGCAACCAGTATTGTGAGAATCCGTCGGACGCGAACCCGCGACCTTCGGATTATTAGCCCAACAGCTAACCGACTGAGCTACGTCCACATTGTTACACAATATGCAAATTTATCTTGTCATTCCTGTGACGATACGAATATGAACGGAAAGTGTCGAATAGGTCTCGGACAATTACGAAGGTTGGCTTGGACAGACCTCTGAGAGGAGCTTACGAATACGCGATAATCCAGCAA